ACTTCTTCACCCAAAGAGTGATTAACACATGGAATTCACTGCCACAGGAGGAGGCAGTGGCTACAAGCATGGACAGCTTCAAGAGGGAATGAGCTAAGCATATGGAGCAGAGGTCCATCAGTGGCTATTATTTATTTATTTATTTTATTTATTATTAAATTTATATCCCGCCCTCCCCCGTAGGGCTCAGGGCGGCTTACATGGCAAGAAATCTTGCTAGTAAAACATCAATAATTTAGTAACATTTAAAACATATTATACAGTTTAAAACCCTCTCAATGCATTAAAATGCTCAACTACAATTCATCCATTCCGGAATCTCAGAGAGATGACAACCACATCCACAACCAGACATCCCCGGTAGGCATTCCATGTCCTCCATAATAGATGGTAAACAGTTGTTTCTTCCTTCCTTCCTTCCTAGGGCCCTTCCCCCCCCCCCAATGATGGTAATGTAACCGGGGGGGGCGGCGGCGGCCTCTAGTCTAAGGCCTGGTGGAAGAGCTCCGTATTGCAGGTCCTGTGGAACTGCATCAGGTCCCGCAGGGCCCGGATCTCCTCCGGGAGCTCATTCCACCAGGTGGGGGCCGCCACCGAAAAAGCCCTAGCCCTCGTGACGGCCAATTTAGCGTCTTTGGGGCCCGGCACAGTTAGAAAATTTTGGGCTCCTGACCGTATTAGCCACAAGGTATAGATAGGAGCTCACAGGCTGGGGCAAGTGATGCTCTGTATTCTTGGTGCTTGGGGGGGCAACAGTGGGAGGGCTTCTAGTGTATTGACCCCACTGATGGACCTCCTGATGGCACCTGGTATTTTTGGCCACTGTGTGACGGATTGGATGGGCCATTGGCCTGATCCAACATTGGCTTCTCTTATGTTCTCTTATGTTCTTAAGAGTGATGGGGTGAGAGACTGTGACTGCTCATATCAGACATGGGTTGTTCATGGTACTTGCCTCTGCTTGTGACTCTTTGTTCTACAATAAGCATGTTGCCTTTTTTTTGGTATGTTGTGTTTTTGCCTCCCATTAGTGAGTTGCCCTTCACAAAATTTATTTATTTACTTATAACTTGCTTTTATCCCCAAAGGGAACCCAAAACGGCTTACAATGCTGTTCTCCCTTCTCCATTTTGTCCTTGTGCAACTGACTAGGCTAGGCTGAGAGAGACCCAAGGTGACCCAGCAAGAGTCCATGGCAGAGTGGAGATTCAAAATCGGTTCTCCCAGATCCTAGTCTGTCACTCCAGCCACTATACCACACTGTCTTGCTTTTAACTCTGATTGTATGAATGACAATTCTAAAGAGAATGCATCCCTTTTGCTCTTTGCCACAACACATGTACACGTTTTTACTGGATGTAGCTGGCCATTGCAACATTCCTTACTGTACCTAAACAGATTTTTATACTTACATGGAGCATATGAGAGAGAGGGAGAGAGAGAGAATACATGGCTGATGGAATGAGTGTGGAATTCATGGACATGCATTTTGATTGCTTATTAGGGATGGAATCCAAGGAGCGGGCTTTTGGTTTCCTGTTAACTCCTGCTCATGAATTAATACTTAGAAATGAATAACCAATTCTAACATAACTTTTTGATGTGTTTATACCTGTGAGATATCTTCAAAGAGTTACGTCAGAAGAGGCCCCACAGAAGTCTCATCAGCACATCATCTCACGGCACTAGCAAAAACACACATTGAGCACTGATCCACTTAGCACATCCTGGGACAAGGGATAAAAATAGATGGTGTGCTATACCAAACAGGCAGTTTTGAAAACTCTGCACACACACATCCTTGTTGTCACTCTGTAATACTGTATTCCTGCAAGATGAGTAACTGAGCCACTTCCACTCGTCACTTTCCACATACCAGATTTTCAGAAGACAATAGCTAAGCAAAAAAGAAAAAGAGGAAGCAAGTGGCTCTGTAGACAACAGATTTGCACAACATTTTGCTCACAGGTTTTGTATATCATTTGAAATGTGCCATTCTCATAGAGACAGCAGCTCACACTATTCAGCATAATTTCTCTCTGTGTTGTTGGGTTCCACATTGGTCTGAGAGATGGGTATGCCTAAACTGTATATGTGATTTATGGGCTAAACTGGAACTACCTTCCCCAAACTGCATATACAATGTCTGATGGTAATCAAGGCCTACATTCATATATTCACTGGCAAGTAAACTCTACCTGTATGACCCATTAACCTCATATTTTACTGGCCCTGGGAATGGGCTGTTGATCAATGGTAGAACACCTGCTTTGCATGCTGGAGGTCCCAGGTTCAATTCCCAGCATCTTCAGTTAAAAAAACAGGTTATATGAAAGATCTCTACCTGAGACCTTGGACAGATGCTACCAGTAAGGTTGCCAGTTCCAGGTTGGAAAATTCCTGGAGATGGGGGTGGGGTACAGGAGCCTTGGGAAGTGCAGGGCTTGGGAGGGGAGAAATCTCAGCATGGTATAATGCCAAAGAGTCCACCCTCCAAAGCAACCATTTTATCCAGGGGTACTGATCTCTGGTGTCTGGAGATCAGTTGTAATTCTGGGAAATCTCCAGCCCGCCCATGGAGGTTGGCAACCATAGCTACTAGTCAGTGTAGACAATACTGACATTGATAGCTCAATGGTCTTACTCAATATAAGGTGTTGGAAGTGAAGGACTGGCCGCTATCACCTGTCTCAGCTTCCAGACAACATGGCAAGAGAGTCAGCTAGCTAAATAGGCAGTCTGTCCTTTCTTTTTGTGTTTACTATTCTGCCACTGTCCCCTTTGATATGCAGAATGGGCATTCTCAGGGAACTTCCTTCCTGCCGTTCATTTTCTACCAGAACACCAACAACTAAAGGACTGTGAAAAGTTAATTCTTCACAGAACCAGAGAGCCTTGAGTGACAGGCTGCTCCAGGAAATCTGATTGGTTGACATCAGCTGAGCAAAAAAAAAAAAAGTCTTGAGAGAGCTGGATGCTGAGGAAACGTCAGGCTGATTCCTGCCTTAACTGTGAAGAGATGTGTACTGAGACCATCTATGAATAGCCCTGTCAAAAAAAGGTTTAGTGCTGACAAAGTCAGATTTCTACCCTGACTGAATACAGTCTGAATTCAGCATTAGCTGAGAGCAGTTTGAACACAGACAGGAGTATTGGGGGGAGAGTTTGGCAAGGAAGTGGATAGTAGAGAAGACTCCCATTGAGGCCAAAGGAAAGGGGATAGATCTTCTAGAGAGAGAAGACGATTATCTACCCAGGCAAATGGAGAGTTATCTCTGAGGATGTTAAATACTGGGTACAGAGGGGTACAGAGATTCTTGGTCTGGGGTAATTAGAAACTGCCAGTAGAGACTTTAAAAGTCAGTGAACAACTCAAGAAAATTTCTGGCGTTCCAAAGAGAAGGGGTTGGAGTGCTGGGAAGAGGGTACCAGCCTTCTGGGCACCAAAAAGAGCCAGCAGTTATACAAATAAATTGTATTAAATGTTTGGGAAAACACTGGAATAAAAGACTCTCAGCATAACTATGAATAATTTAAGAACATCTCATTAACCTGATATAGGCCCCGGTCACACGGAGCATTAGGCACGCTAGAGAGACAGAAGATAGGCAGATTTTCCGGGCGCGATCTCACCGCCACATCTGGGAAGTGTAGAGCTCCCGTGGCGCACCCGAGGAAACCGCGGGGCAAGGGCGGGCGTCTGATCGCGTTTCCGGTGGTAGTTCCGGCACCCGCCCATGTCCCCTCGCAAAAAGGTTTTTTTTCTCCAAGTCTCCACGGATGCGCACAAGCACCAAACAGAGCATGCGCACATTTCAGTTTTAAAAAACCCCACAACCCCATTTGCCACGCCGCTCCGTTTCTTTGCCACGTCGTGTGATCGGCACCTCCCCCCTAACCATGGGAGCTCAACGGGACCTCAACCCGATGCCTGATTGCGCAGTCGCAAACAGCCACGCCTCCCCCCACATTTTCCTGCCCATGTGGCCGAGGCCATATAAGAACAAATGCCTATGCTTGTAATAGTTTTACCTCAGTAATTTCAATCCTGATTTCACCTTACTTTTCCCTTTGATGTTAAAATAAAACCTTTTGTTATTTTAGAAGTATCTCAAGTGCCATTTTCAAGGGTTTGGGTTGAAGGGCAATCCTATCCTTTCCCTCAGGTTTCTGGACTGAGCAAATAGCCAAATATACCTTACTGACAGGATGGGACAGACAAGGTTTCTTCAAGGGAAGAATAAACATGTTACCAGGGCTGCTCAATCAATGAAGGGAAACAAAAACAGAGGGGAAATCTTGCCTCTGAGTGAGGGAAGTACACAAGATCATATGAACATAAGAGAAGCTAGTGTTGGATCAGGCCAATGGCCCATCTTGTCCAACACCCTGTGACACTGTGGCCAAAAATACCAGGTGCCATCAGGAGGTACACCAGTGGGGCCAGGACACTTGAAGACCTTCCACTGTCCCCCACCCCCATCCAAGCACCAAGAATACAGAGCATCACTTGCCCCAGCCTGTGAGTTCCTATCTATACCTTCTGGCTAATAGCCACTGATGGACTTCATAGATGGGGGTCTGTCCTACCCCTTCAGTTTCCTTTTTACTATTCCCCCCATTTTTGCAAAATTCCCCCCATTTTTGCATTAATCTCTTACTCTGTCTGAGTTCTTGCAATTGCCTTATGATCTTAGCCCTTTTTCTTTCTATGAGCAGGGGGATGGAATCTGGGGGAATTATAAGTGCCTCCAGAGGTACTTGCTCCCTGACTTCAGTCAGCTCAGTATTATCTGACTGGAATTCCTGAGTGTCCTCTACTCTGAAGTCATCTTTCGCCATGCTGGACTCAGGCTCAACTTCTGAGGAGTCCTCACACTGGGCTCCAGTTGCCAATCAGACTGGTCAGGCTGCAAGTCACACTGGTCCTCACCAAGGCTGGGCTCAGGAAGCGAGTCAGAGTCTGGCTGCACCTCAGGCTGAGGCTGGTCCATGACACTATGTCACCCAGAAGTGATGCAGGTACGTCAGTGACATTGGGAGGGTGGCACTCTGGTATTTGGGCAAAATTCTATGGTTTGAGGGTGAGTCTATCATAGAGTTCTGCCCAAACACCAGAGCATCACCCCTGGCATGCCTACGTCCCTTTCAGGTGACGTAGGCACAGCATGCGATGTCACTTCTGGTGTCATCGGCATGTTGGGGGTGATGCTTTCAGCTCCTGGAGTGTCCCCCCCACAGCATCTCGAAGGGACCTGGTAACCCTACTGGGTGTCAGGGGAACCCCACCTCCACCGGGGAGTCTGGCAACCCTACATCTAAGTGGGTAGTGTATTCAGATCTTGGGTAATGTAAAAATAATCCTTTGTCTTCTAACAGGCACTTTCAGAGTACAACAGGAATCTTTAATCCAGACTGCTTTCGCCAATGAAGGAGTGAATACAACCTGCAACGCTATCTTCCCTTTTCAAAAGGAAAATACAGACTTTAAAATTATTTATTACCGAATTAACTCAGGAGGTGAGAGAATCAACGTTTACACGTGTCCATTTTCTGAAGCATTCTCTTCTGAAAAAGAGAACCAAACAGTGACTAAAATTTGCAACGTTGCTATTAAACCAACTGAACATGCCTCTGCTAGTGGTGCTTACTACTGCCAAGCTAAATGGAAACATAGAGAAATACATGGAATGGGGACATATATCCTTTTTAGAGGTAAGTTCTCTATGGCAGGTCATGATTGGTGGGAGAAGAGTCTGACCAACAAAATTTAAGTGATGGGTTTCAACTTTGGTTTGTTTTATATGAAAGCAAGATAGATTGTCTTCTTGCAATGCATGTTGTATGCCTCTGCCTGAAACTCATATAGGAGAAAATTAAACAAAAGACGATCTAATAGTTTGGGTTGAGAGTGGCTTTGATTCCCATGGTGTTTATCCCACTTTTCATCTCTGGTCAATGACGTTTTCAAATAATTCAGAACGCTGTTTATCACAGGGAAAAGTGGGATAAATATCTTCAGGTTTTTGAAAAAATTGTTGACACTCTCTTGTTTGACTCGTAAAGACAGACAGAAATACACACACACATGCATAATCTAGTTTAAAATAAAATGCAGGTTTAAAATAAAATGCCCCGTCTCTGGTGGACAGACTTCACAGAAGCACCACACAATCTGATGAAGAAAACATGACATTTACGAATAGATCATGAATGTCATTTGTGCTAATGAAAAGCTAATTCAGTGTCACTTAAAAAAATATGGTAAGGGAGAAATTGAAATATATGCAATAGTTACTTTCCTATTAATCTTATTTTACTGCTTTTTAACAACATAAATAGCATCACTTATAACTTAGTGTGGCTGGGTGGTACTATTTGGCACATTTATGGAATTCAAAAGTATAAATGCCATTGTTTTTAAAAAGCAAAATATACCCAGTACTTGAGACAAAGAAGCAGGATCCTATGCTAACTTAGTGCATGTATCTTTATTTTTGCTATGTGAGAGACAGGGAAAAACAGAGTGTATTATTAGGACAGAAAGAGTCCCATACAGTCACAACATATTAGATATCAAATTAAATTGTAGCTTTTGAATGTCCATACTATACATTTGTTTTACATTTTAAAAGCAGTCAACTGATTTCAAAAGAGAAAATATTTAATTGGATTTTTTCTCCCACCCCCTTTAAAAAAATAATAAAATTGAAAAATTGCCCTCGGAGGAAACAAATCCTCCCCCCCCCTCAAAGATTGCCATTTTTTCCAGGCCTCTGTGTTGCCATGCAACACAGCAGAAGGGAATCATACAGGGAGAATGGTGGTGGAAAGTGTCATCGAGTTGCAGGCGATTTATTGTGTCCCCCGTAGGGTTTTCAAGACAAGAGTCATACAGAGGAGGAGAATATTATAGCATTGGAAAAAGGGCAGAAAAGGGCAACTAGAATGATAAAAGGGATGCAAGACTTTCCCTATGAGGAAAGGTTAAAGCACTTGGGGCTCTTTAGCTTGGAAAAACGACAGCTGAGGGGTGACATGATTGAGGTTTATAAGATTATGCATGGGATAGAGCAGGTAGAGAAAGAAGTACTTTTCTCCCTTTCTCACAATACAAGAACTCGTGGGCACTCAATTAAATTTCTGAGCAAAAGGAAGTACTTCTTTACCCAAAGAGTGATTAACACATGGAATTCACTGCCACAGGAGGTGGTGGAGGCTACAAGCATGGATGGCCTCAAGAGGGAGATAGATTAACATATGGAGCAGAAGTCCATCAGTGGCAGAAGGGAAGGTATAGATAGGGACACTCAGGCTGGGCAAGTGATGCTCTGTATTCTTGGTGCTTGGGGGGAGTGCAATAGTGGGAGGACCTCTAGTGTCCTGGCCCCACTGGTGGACCTTCTGATGGCACCTGGTATTTTTGGCCACTGTGTGACAGAGTGTTGGACTAGATGGGCCGTTGGCCTGATCCAACATTGGCTTCTCTTATGTTCTTGTCCCTGGCTGTTTCTGAGTAGTGACCATGGACTTCCTTGGTGGTCTCTCATTCAAGTGCTCACCAATCCGAACCCTGTATAGTTTCTGATATCTCATGAGATCAGGCTTGCCTGGACCATCCAGGTCAGGGCAACAGGAAGAATAGTCAGTATTGATTTGGAGGCAGTATCAGATCTATATACCAGTGGAATTTAGTGCAGTCTAAATCTTCAGGTTGAAACTGAGGAATTAGTCATATGCCTTGTCCATTCAAGGAGTTCAGACAAGTGTTATTAGAATTTAAAGCAAGGTAAATAGCCAGGATATCTGTCCAGGGCAGTTGTGAATGGATGGCTCGTGCTGGAAGTATGGATTAGGACTGGGATTCTTTTTATTTTTTATTTATTTTATTGGTTTTTTATCCCGCCCCTCTCCGTGAGCAGGATCAGGGCGGGTTCCATCAGTATTAATACAATATAGTACAATTAAAAACAAAACAACAAGTTAAAACAATATAGATCATAAAATACCGTGTAAAAATTTTGTCAGGTGTCTTCATAATTTAGATGTAACAGACGTGTGGGTTCCTAGATGGCTATTTAGATCCAGGCCACTGATGGGAGATCAACCAGGAGGGAGGGACGTCTGTCGCCTCAACCAAAAGGCCGGTGGAAGAACTCTGTCTTACAGGCTCTGTGGATTGGTGGATACTGGGAATAGAATAGACAGGAGACTTTAATGACTAAACATAATTGGGTAGGACAGATGGTAAGACCAAGGCCCTAAGGAGAAGAAACCAAGCACAGTCAGAAGCAGGATTAGCTGGGAAGCCAAAACCCAGGCCTGGGGTAGACTAGTTTTAAACTTCTGGCCATCACAGAATATACACAACAAATGCTTTAGCAAAACCAAGAAGAAGAAGAAGGAGGAGGAGGAGGGGGGGGGAGGGGAGGAGGGAGGAGAGAGGAGGAGATTGGATTTATACCCTGCCCTTCACTACCCAAAGGTATCTCAGAGTGGCTTACAAACTCCTTTCCCTTCCCCTCCCAACAACAGACACCCTGTGAGGTAGGTGGGGCTGAGAGAGCTCTTGACAGAAACTGCTCTTTTTCAAGAACAGCCCTTATCAGAACTACGGCTTGCCCAAGGTCATCCAGTCAGATTCAAGTGGAGGGGTGGGGAACCAAATCCGGTTCTCCCAGATTAGAGTCTGCACACCAAACTTTAATAATTAAATATGTTGCACACAATTAGAGTATTTTTTCTCTGTGTGCATTTCTCTAAATAGTCCTATGTCCATAGTTACCTTTTTTGCAGATATTTTCTCTCCCGTAAGTACTGAAAAAGTTAACTGCAATGTCTATTTGCACCACAGCCAGCTAAAGCTGTATAACTATGCCCTATCCCTTTTATGCTATATGACACACATAATTTTCTGCTTCCTTTTCAAGGTCTTCAGCATCTCTCTTTCTTCATACTTTCATACATTTGGTATAACAACGGTTCTAGTGTGAGAACAGCATATGCACTCAGGGCCCCAATGTCAGGAAGTTAATGTCAAAGGCACTTTTAACATTGCACCACTTCCATTCATTTTAACTAGATTTCTGCATGCAGGAGAACTTCTCAGAAGCTTGTGTCCAATGTGCAGTGCAGGGAGAGAGGGCAAATGGACAATGTGCAGTTGTGTGCCACCTATATGGTTTACCTGGATGTTAATTCTATTACATTTCAGATTCACCCAGGATGTATTGAAAATAAAATGTTGTGTTGTTGTTGTTATACAAAGCCATCAGTCTACATGAACAAGCTGCAAGATTTATATTAAATTTTAGTTTTTTATCACAGGTACTCATTTTCATGCTACAGATTATAAACCATGCAACCAACACTGGCTGTCAATGTCCCTTGAGTACTGGATGCTTTGCTTTCTTCTTTATTCCCTTTTAGACAGAGGATATACTGAGCCTCCGCTTACTATATGGATGTGCCTGATCACCCTCACAATTGTTCTGGTTGTTGTGAGTATCGTGGGAACAGTAATGCTGTTCTGGAAGAGAGAGGCAAGTTATCAAAAAATGTATCCTTCCTCAGCTCCATCACAACACACTTGTTGCAAAAGATTTATAGATAAATACTCTTAGTATTTGGGTTCTGAATACCCCAGCACTTGGAAACCAGGCTGAATATGTGGCTTCTACTCGACAAGAATGTTTCTTGTAATAAATATTCATGTGTTTTACACATCACGATTTTTCAAGAGACATCAGTCCACAGCAATGTTCATACTTCTTCCTTACATGATGGAGATGTCAGATCAGCCTTTACAGAGTCACATTTGGAAGGGAGAACACTGGAAGACCCTTTGTAGAAAACTGTTTATAAATGTACGGATCTAGCAGGCATTATGGTGATGCAGACGGAAGCACAAAGGCAGTGCTAGTGTCAAAAGCAACATCAATGCCCTGGCCTTTATTATTTTTTTAATCCATATTTCCTTATATTCTGCTGCCAGGGGAAGCTACACTGAGGCCCCGGTCACACGGGCAGGAAACTGCAGGGGAGAAGCGTGGCTGTTTGCCCTGGGGCAAACTACTGCGTGGTTATGCGATCAGACCTCCCGTGGAGGTTCTGTGGAGGTACCGTGGAGGTTCCATGGCAAGGGAGAGGTGCTGATCACAGGACAAGCCGGCGCGCAACGAAAAAGCGTGCGCCGCGGCAAACTGGTTTTTTTTGTGTGTACACGACAAATGCGCATGCTCCGTTGGGTGCGTGTGCGCATCCACAGAGACTTGGACAAAAAAAACCCACACCTTATTTGCAAGGGGACATGGGCGGGCGCCGGATGCCACCGGAAACGCGATCAGACGCCCGCCCTTGCCCCGCAGTTTCCGGAAACTAGTACCTCCGAGGTACTAGTTTTTTGCCACGCAGTTTCGGCTGGAAGCCTCGGTTGAGCCACGGGAGTGCTACGCTTCCCAGATGTGCTGGTGAGATCGCGCCCGGAAACTCTGCCTGTTTTCCATCTCACTTGTGTGGCTTCTGTTCCGTGTGACTGCAGCCTGAGTTCCCTTGTGGAAGGTGGGGTTAACTTGCATTCCAGATGCTTGGATCAGTCAACTATCCATTATAGTGTTCCCTGCCTTGAATCTAGACCATGTTGATCTAGGTAGGTTTTGCTGCATGGGCAATTATATTGCCCCGTGCTAAACCAGCTATGAAATCTTGCCTCTGATCCACAAAATTAGATAAATGGACAGCCTGTAAGGCTGTAAGCCTGGTCCAGTTTATGCCGCTACCTTCATCAGTATAATAAATGTGTAATGTGGATGCTGGACACATTCAAATGACATTTGAGCTCCTAGGAAAGTTAAAGTGGTAGCAATGGGAATAAAAATGCATTTTTAAAACCAGAACTATTGCACTGCCGGTTACTCCCATTTATCATATCCTCCTGAATAGGTGGTATGTCTTGGGAGGAAGCACGTTGAGAAGCACCCAGCTCAAGGATCGGAACCTCAATATCCTGCAAGCCACTCAGAGCTTCCAGGGTCCCTCTATGCTGTAAGTATCAATAGTGTATAACCTTGTGTAAACCTTGTGTAAAGAGTGGAGAACTAAAATTTAATGTAGGGTAAAAAGCAAGCTGCTGACTAGTTCCAGTTGCCATGAGAACTAGAAGACTCAGAGAGGGAGAGTAAAAAGTAGCAGAGAAAAAGCTAGAGAAACCGTGTTTGGAGGTCCAGGGGATATGCTGTGCCAGTTTGGTGTAGTGGTTAAGAGCGTCGGACTCTAATCTGGGGTACCAGGTTTGATTCCCTACTCCTCCACATGAAGCCAGCTGTGTGTCCGTGTGCCACAGCTCTCTTAGAGCTCTCTCAGCCCCACCTACCTCACAGGGTGTCTGTTGTGGGTTGTGTAAACCGCTGAGACTTCTTCAGGCAGTGAAGAGCGGGGTATTAAAACCAACTCTTCTTCTTCTTCTTCTTAGTGGACAGAAAGAGCCTCCTGAGGCTGGAGAAGAGGGAGGTCAGAAAGAAGGTCCAGGGGCTACATAGAGCTTGACACTCTGGCCAGCAGCAGAAAAGGTGCTGTTAAACAGCAGCTTTAATACTGGAATTCAGGGTACTAGTTAAGCCTGCCAGGACTCCTATGGTAGCTATTGTCTAGTGGGTTGCCACGTGGAGGAACGACAGAAACTGGCGTAGTGCATAGCACGCTTTATTCATACACAACAAAGACAAAAACCAACGGCCGGCAGGCCAACTATATACACACCCTGGAGACACACCCCTGGGCCCCATTGGCGGGTTTAAATCTCCCGCCACGGTCCTATTGGTTCCCCAGTGGAGGGACTAAGATCCTAGTCCCTATTGTCCTTCCCGTTTCAAGCTCCAGCGTGTGCGCTGGCCTCTGGTGGCAGCCAGCGGACACAACAGTAGCCCTAGTTGATCACTGTGGCTACAAGTGGCAAGGGCGGGGGGGGGACTGGTGGTAGCATCTGCACCAATGTTCCCTCTAAGCTGTGGAGTCTTGTGAGCAAAAATTCTGCTTTGTGAGCTACCAACAGTAAAGTTGTGAGCAAGTGATTTGGCTACTGTGTAAATTAGTTTGCTCTGGAGCCATCCTTCCTGAGCGAAGGCGAAAATCTGTGGGCCGGAGGCTTAAAAACTGTGAGCTAACTCACCCTAGAGGGAACACTGATCTGCACCAGTATGTCTTTGCTTTCTTCTTTATTCCCTTTTAGACAGAGGATATACTGAGCCTCCGCTTACTATATGGATGTGCCTCCGCTTACTATATGGATGGGCCATTGGATGTGCTCCAATGCCCAGCCAGTGGACACAACAGTAGCCCTAGTTGATCACTGTGGCTACAAGTGGCAAGGGCGGGGGGGGGGAACTGGTGGTGGCATCTGCACCAGTATGTCTTTTCTGGAGAAAACCTGGGAGTGATGTAGGGTACTGCTGTAGACCACCAGAAAGTCTTTACCATAGAGTTTCTGATAATGTCCAGAGCTACTCTATGTCAGTTCAACATTTCCACTGGATGTAGTGGTGCAGAGAACATCACAACCAGTGTTCCCTCTAAGCTTTGTTAGTGTGAGCTAGCTCACAGTTTTTTTAGCCTCCAGCTCACACATATTTATTTATTAATTTTACTTTTACCCCGCCCTACCGCCAAGGCGGCTCAGGGCGGCTTACATAAAACCATAAAACCAACATAGAGTACATACATAAAATACATAAATTCATTCCATATCAATACAGTTAAAACCATTTGTGTGTAGTGGTATCATATAACAAAGTGCAAGTGCAGCTGGCAAAGCGGCACAGGCTCAGCCAATGTGGTGCTGCTCCTACTGGAATGCCTGGCAGAAAAGCTCTGTTTTCACGGCCCTGCTCCGCAGGGTCCTGATCTCGCCTGGAAGCTCGTTCCAGTACATCAGCGCCACCAGGGAGAATGCCTTGGTCCTGGTCGATGCCAACCTGGTGTCCTTAGGACCAGGGAGGGCCAGGCGGTTTTGTGTTCCTGACCACAGTGCGGGGAAAGGCGGTCCCTCAGGTAGGCAGGCCCCTGACCATAAAGGGCTTTAAAGGTCAAAGGTAAGGTAAAGGTTCCCTTGCTCAAAAGCCAGTCGAGTCCGACTCTAGGGTTGCGGTGCTCATCTCCGTTTCAAAGGTCAAAAGGTCAAAACCAGCACCTTAAAGCAGATCCGGAATGCTATTGGCAGCCAGTGCAGCGACTTTAGCATAGGCTGGTTGTGCTCCCGCATAGGAACATTTGGCACCAGCCGCCACATTTGGCACCAGCTGCAGCTTCCGGAGTTGCCCCAAGGGCAGCCCCATAGAGAGCATTGCAGTAGTCCAACCTCGAGGTGACCATTGCGTGAATCACTGAAGCCAGATCTTTGCGTGCGAGGAAGGGAACCAACTGCCTAACCAGCCAAAGATGGTAAAAGGCTGCCTTGGCAGTGGCTGCTACCTGGGCCTCCATTGTCAAGGAAGCATCCAGGAGCACTCCCAAACTCCTGACCCTCGGCGCTGGCACCAACAGCACCCCACTGAAGGCCGGTAATGGGATCCCTACCCGCGAACAGCTCCGATTCAGGCACAGGACCTCCGTCTTCGTCAGATTCAATTTCAGTCGGCTCAGTCTAAGCCATCCCACCATGTCCTGCAGCGCCCGGTCCAGGTCTTCCGGGTTGGAGCCAGACTGACCGCCCAAAAACAGATAGAGCTGGCTGTCACCCGCAGATTGGTGACACCCTAGCCCATGCCTCCGGGCGACCTGGGCAAGGGGGCGTATATAGATGTTAAATAGCATCGGGGAGAGTATCGCCCCTTGCACTCCACAGTTTAGTGGGTGCCTTCGGGATAGCTGCTTCCCAAGTGCCACCCTTTGTCCCCAACCCTGGAGGAAGGAGACAAGCCATTGCAAGGCAAGCCCCTGAATCCCCATGTCAGCGAGGCAGTGGGCGAGCAGCTGATGATTGACCGTGTTGAATGCCGCCGACAGGTCCAACAACAGCAGCACCGCCATCCCACCCCAATCCAGATGCCTCCGGAGGTTGTCTGTGAGGGCGATCAGTGCTGTCTCCGCCCCATGGCCTGGGTGGAAGCCGGACTGGAAGGGATCTAGCATGGAAGCGTCATCCAGAAAGCTCTGTAACTGTATCGCTACCGCCCTCTCTATTAATTTTCCCGAATAGGGCAAATTGGAAACCTGCCGATAGTTGGCCAATTCGGTTGGATTCAGAGATGGTTTTTTTAGGAGGGGGCGGACCATTGCTTCCTTGAGAGCCCCTGGGAACAGTCCCTCAGAGAGGGACTTGTTGATAATGTCCCTGAGGGTACCTTGAAACCACCCATCATCGGTTGTGGGTTGGAGCCATCAAGTCCCTAACGGGCACAACCAACGCTCGTGGACACATCATGGGTTGGTAGGTCATGACCCTGAATTTCTGCTGTTGGGTTTCTGGGGTGACCTCATATCGATCCAATATAGCAGCCTTCAATTTGTTGTAACCAGTGGTGTCCATTTTTTCCAGTGCCTGCAGAGCGGCATGGGCATCTCCAGATAGGTATGGGCCCAGGATAAACAACCACTTTTCCTTGGGCCATTGAGTGTCCTCTGTGGTCCACTCTAAGGTCTCCAAGAATTCTTCCACGTTGTCTTCCGGCCCCAGCTTTGTCAATGGGAACCATGGAGTATGTCCTAGTCCCATTGCCAGTCCTGGTCTGCCTAACCTTCCAACAGGATTCGGGGATGCCCTGGTGGCCTTGAGGACTTGTTGGAAGTCCTGGAGCAGCAGGGTCTGGGCCCCCAGCTGCCTCTGGGTCACCTTTCGTAGGAGCTGGGACTGGTGCCCAGCCAGCCACTGCCCGAATTGGGTAAGGTCCATGCTGGTACCCGGTGCCTCTTCCTTGGGGCCTTCCTGGGCTTTCAGTGCTTCAGCAATATTCGCTGACCAGGTCAGGGAGAGCAACTTGGGTGGTTGCAGCACAGGGTGGTTGCAGCACAAGTGTGGTTAGGGATGGCCTAGAGCGAGGTCTCTTCTTATATTCTCCACCACCTTGTCATACCCCAAGGCTGCCCCTGGGGAAACACCACCTTCCACCGTCTCACACGCTGCTGTCAGGATGCTCCTACAGGCCTCAGAATGGGAAGGGAGGGGGTTCTGTATCACCTGAGACCTTGGCTTCCTGGCTGGAAGGCTTCACTTTCAGCCACAAGCCTCTAGCCCTGCTTCTCCCTGGCCTATTCCAAGGAGCCTGCTTTTATGCCTCCCTCCCCCCTGTCCACTTCACCCCTTCTGCCTTCCCCTGGGCCTCACTTCCACCTGTCAACCCCAGGCCAGCATCTCCAGCCAGCCTCCACTTGAGCTGAGGCTCTGGCTATTTGCCTTCCCCTTGTTGACCATGTTGACTGGCTTATTCTTCCTTTTTTTAGTGCACAGCTGACCCATTCAAGCATTGCACAATTCCAGTTCTTCTATTAATGTCACCTGTCTGTCTTGCCTGCTAAGGCTCTTCCCGCCTTCCTGTTCCCAGGGAAACAGCCACCATGTCCAGGATGATTGCCACCATGTCCATGGCAACCTGTTATTACCATAAACACACATGTACATAACCTTCCTAACCGCTGTTTTGGATCTTTTGGATCTTTTAGATAGAACTTTTAATGTCAATAAATCTGACATGTTCTAAGTGATATCCTTTGGGACAAGGGGTGGCTCAAGAATGTAAGATTTTTGTCTTTCTCTGTGTGCTTATTTGCAAACTTATTTTCTACTACTGTATATTCTGAAGAGAGACAGCAGCTCCAGCCTTGAAACACAAACAGAAATTGCTGTAGTATGGAGAAGGCTTCCCCCTTATGCTTATGAGGATTGCACTGTTAGTGTCGCATCTCAGATCCACCTCTCCAAAGAGATCATGAGAGGAATCTGAGCACATCACACATGAACACAGAACAACTGCACCATTTCAAGCCATTAAGAACATTCAGATGGGCCTTCCTTCCCTAGAGTGCAATCTTGCGTTGCACAGTTTTGTGATCCTTTTCTTGGGAATTTTTTTGACAAATGTACATATTTAATCTGTCCTTCTTGAATGCTGACAGGCTTGCATTTGGCCTCTTGCACCCCTAGTAAAAATTCCCCAGTATTTCCTTATTTGCTTAGGCATTTCAAAACATGCTTATTTAATTTGCATTTATAATGAACATCTGTCTTTCCCCTTCTTCAGGCCTTAGGACCTCAAGAACCTGACATCTATACAGTCATGAAGGATAAATCACCAGAGAAAGAGAAGCCAAAACCTAAGGTGAATTTGATAAGCTTGTAATGTCTTTGCTGAGGGTTTCCATTGATTGATTGACTGATTGATTGATTGATTGATTGATTGCAGCTTATATCCCGCCCTTCCCCGCAAGGCTACAAATAGTAATGGTCAACATAATAGGAATCCTCACAGGCTCATTTGTGCATTGGGAAGGCTGGCAGAAAAGGACTGAGCTATGGCCTATAGATTGTGCACAGGTCCATGCTTAGTCCATGCACTCATTCCAGTCAGTGACATCTTCTGCCTGTGGCAAGATTAAGGGAAGCCACTTCCAGTGAAACTCATTACCTGTAGCCACTGGTACAATAACAACTCTTAAGTGGGGAAAAATACTTCTTTATCTCTCTTTTTGACCCTTGTATTCTAAAGTTCCCTGTGATAGAAACTGGGTGCCAGGGGGTGCTTTTTCAGGGTAAGGTTGCCAGCTTCAAGTTAGGAAATACCTGGAGATTTTGGGAGTGGAGCCTGAGGAGGGTGCCGTTTGTGGAGGGAAGGGACTTCAATGGGGTATAATTCCATAGAGTCCATCTTCCAAAGCAGCCATTTTCTCCAAGTGCACTGATTTGTTGTAATCCCATGGGATCCCTTGACTGGCAACCCTATTTATGGGCCAGGGGGATTTGGCACACTTTTCCTTAACCAGATCATCAGCAGATTACTCCTAGAATGGTTAAAATAACCTCTGTTCAGTTCAGTCTGATATCACTTTTGCAAGACTTGGGCTAGATCTATATATCTAATTCCCAACTTGCCCCCTCCGTGCGGATACTTAAATCAGCACGGAGGGGGCAGCTGGGGGGGGCTGGGGGAGGTTTGTGTACACGTGGGCCAGTCCCCACGTGTGCACAAAAATAAAAAAATTTAAAAAAAAATTCGGGGGGATGTTAAAATCCCCCCGAAAGTGCAAGAATGTCTCCTGCGCGTGCGCAGGAGACGCTCTGCGAACGCTGC